TGATTCTTCTTGCACTAGCATTGTCTGCTTCTTGTTGACCAGCTACAGCACGTCTATCAAGGACAGTCTGTGCAACCTCATCAAAACACTTGAGACATTTGCTTTCCTTAACACCCTTAGTCTTACCTGCCTTGCCCATGCAATGCTGGTACAATGACGTGCCTGCCTTGTGAAGCTTGAGGGACTGGGGGTTTAAAGGTATCTGGTCTTCGGGTAAACCAATAGCATGAGCCACATAGTCCGGACAGTAGACTTGATCCTGTGGGTCTAAGATAGTATGAAGCTGAATCTTGCCCTTCTTCTCGGGATCAACATAAGACCTTAAAACAAGGGGAATCTTTTCCTTCACACTCGACAAGCTGCTAGTATTCAGAGATTTCCCAACGCCAAAAAGGTCGACAATTGTCCGGGCCAGGAGGAGCGCGCACTTCATCTATTTGCATTCCTGCTAAGGCATCGTCCCCCATGGGGTTTAGTGTCACCTTCAGCCATGATACCTATGAATAAAGCCATATACAAACAGCAGAAACAAAGATTGCAGTCAGTACAATACACAAATATGTATAATATACATTATACATATAATAGATATAATACATACGATACATACGATACATATCATACAACAGGTTTGTATGATACATACAATACATACCATACGTATCGTACATACGATACATATTATATATATCATACGTACGATACAAAGGGTACTTACAGGATTTCAGTACTGTGATCTACTGGTGAAATGGAAATGTGCTGTTTCTTGACTTCCTTGACTTCCTGGGTGGTGTCCTGCCTTGTTCACCTTGTTCTATTAGTCTATGAATAGTAGAGAAAGAGTGAAAGCATGCATTGTTGAGAGACTTGGGTATGGCATGGAGGGAGGAAAGAAGGAGAAGTGGATATTGCACTACGCTAAAAGCTAGTGTAAAGATCTTTCGAGTGTTTTGAGTTTGAGAGAATGAAAGTTATGAAGAGGAATTAGAAAGCTATGAAAACTAATCAACGAGAGAGATCCATAATCAAAGGATCGTAGATCTGAACTCCCGCGGGAGACTGTAGAGTGTGATAGAGAAGGTTGCGGTAGCAATTCTACTCACTACACGATCCAAAAACGGAACGCTGTGAAGATTCGTCGTATAGCATTTATCTAGTAGCGTGGAAGTACCCACGCTGGCTAAATATCTAGAGCGATGTTTCATCATACACCTAGTATGACTAGAGCGGTCATGAGAACCCTGTCTCAATGACTAATCACGAGAGAGAGCCTCAGTCATGAGTCGAACTCAAACCTATCTAGGATCGAGTCGCGAATAGGCTAAGAGCCGTGTATTTGCATTCGCCCCCGAACAAGGGTCACGGAAGGCAGGACATCAGTCGACAAGGAGAACATATGAAATAAAGTGCGGGCACTCTTCTCGGAGATTGGATGTAACCATGTGCATCGCACGATGGCAATAGCCCGATCCGGTATTGGATAATGCATTCCTAACTCAGGGTAGCACCAGTGGTTTCGTACAGCAAAGTTTTTATCACACTGGGAGGCAAGTGATTTTTCAGGCACTGATCTGCCAATGTGACCGCCTCGGAACTCAAATGTTTGATCTGGACTTGAATTTGGCTAGGGTCGAGCTTCGGATGTCCAATGTGTTTGGTGCTTCCGCCTTGTTTGGCTGGCAGGAACCATCGCCTGTGCTCATTACTGAAGTAAACATTAAAATAGAAAGGACAAAGCTTGTCTTTTCCAATCATAGCTAGGTAACTGAGTTTGGGTAGTAGGACTGTGTTGGGTTGCCTTTGATGGTGCTTCCTTATAATACCTATGTCTCGGGCACACGACAGTAAGGTAGGCTCTTCGTCTGTCATAGCCTCTGTTTTTAACATTAAAGCTTACTTCCTTGCACGCAAGTGCAAATACAGACATCAGTTCCTCTATGATAAACTTTTTGTCATCTTTGTTGAATTTTCTTGGCAGCCAATACACGTCGGCCTTGTCAATTTGAGCATGGCTAAGCTGGCCAAGCGTTTGCATAATGTCAATAGGAGTTTCATTTATTAGAGACGTTGCCACAGCTACACTAATAGAAGGAGGGATCCACTCTTTGTTGGAGGAAATATACCTGACACCTCTTTACTATTGACTCGTGTATTAATCATCTAGTCCGGTTCGCATGCAAATTCATCATGCAAGGAACCAAGGGAGTTTTAGGTCTAAAGTGTTACGGGGGTCCTTGTATCCAATTCAATCACAAGAATTGCTATGCACCACCAGAAAATCCTCACTTTTGTTTTTCAGCTTAATCCAAAACCAAATTACTCCCCAATAAGCTGCAGTATTACCAGCAAACAACACTCTTCTACATTGGTATCATATTGGGCAACATCATTCAGTTCAGCAAGATAGGTATCCATATTGGTTGTTGTGACACTTTGGTGGGTGCTTCAGTTCAGATCTTAGAGACCTGGCAACTTAGAGAACTGGCAAAAATTCGTCATATCATATGATACATATTGTATATATTATATATCATATATATCATATGGTTAATATATATCATAATATTATATCATCTGGATTTTATGATAATTGTGTTTCGTATGATATGTATCATGCGTACGATATATATGATACGTATTGTATAGTATAACCCTTCCTCTAAGGTGCGTGCTTTTGGGGGCTTGTCACGGTACATGTACTGTACTGAAGTCCACGAGCGTGGTGCCCCGCGGTCATTGGGGCAAAGCAAATGGGGGGTACAAAAGGGGGAAGACCATTGGGGGTCCTGGGATGGGTCGGACTTCATGGACTCAATTGCTCACAGCCTCCATTTATTTTCCCTTGTCATTGCATGTACTACACATTAGGGGCCCTCGTCTACGACTGTATGCAAGCAAGCTAGCAAGCTAGTAATGTTCTACCGGTAGTTAGCTCGGTTGCGTGTAACGGTGGAGCGCTACTAGTAGAAGCTAGATAGTAGCGATAGAAAACCTCTCTTCGCCATCAACAGGTCCCGCAGAACTACTGCGCGTCCAATTACGGTTTTTGATCATGCAGGCACGAGCTGGAGGCACCAATGCGCTGCACACAATTGGTATGCAGTGCAGTTCATCCCGAAGGACTCTGTTGTGTTGCTTTTTGCTGCTTCAACTGAGTGTTGCAGTTGTTCTGATGTTTGCCAAAGTTTCCTCAGTCACCAAGGTAAGTGCGAGGCGTGTACCACACTCAGACCATGCACAACCGTGACCAACTTCAAGACCAAACTTGTGTATACTTGTGCCAATGATGTGTACTTGCTTCGCGTCGCTTGATGTTGAAATTTGTATGCTTTCTTTTAGGGATTCACAAGGGAGCAAGAACAAGAACAGCTCGTAGAGATGCGTTTGTGGAGGCGCAGCAAGCACACTGACAATCACATTGTTGCAAAGGGTCCCTTCTCTGCAAAGGTGCAAGCTCAACAAAACACTACCAGCAGCAGTTCCAGTGAGATCATCCACCCAGATGGCTTGGCAACTTCCCCAACAACTCATATTGCCAAATCTAGTAATACTGGTAGGAAAACCCAAGCAAACGCCACTGACAGCAGCATGCAAGCAATCAGCAATCATAGCCACCAAGAAAATGTGTTGACCAACAATGAACGGGCACACTCGATTTCGACCAACACATCAGCTGCAAAGCAACCGAAAAATGAACTACAGCCGAAGAAAAAGGAAACACAAGACAGCAGCGAACGACACACTTCTGCGTTGTCATCTGAAAATCCCAAAGCACCAGTGCAGGAGAAACAGAAACCGCAACATCAGCAGCAGCAGCAGCAGCAGCAAAAGCAAAAGCAATCAACAATCAGCACCAATTCTACCTCAAGCACCGGAAGACGCCCCAGCATGATCATTCACATTGGACCTTCCAAGACTGGTACCTCCACTATCCAAAGAGAATCCATTTCCTTGCAACCGTTTCTCACTCGGGACAATTTCGTCTACATTGGCAAATTTGCAGAAAGCAAGTACCGAAGAGCAAGCAAAGCCGCCATGCTGCTAAAAAATGATGGCTGTTTTCAAGAAGCAGCTGCGGCTTGGAAGTACAACAATTCCAATTTTAACGACACAGAGTGCTGGATGGGACGCATGTCAGGCATCATGAAGTACTACCACCAAAACATCAGCATGATCCTTTCAGATGAAGGATACAGCTACAAGGGTCGATTTGACAATCACACATACTATCAATTGCTTAGAGTTGCCTTTCAAGATTGGAATGTTGTTGTTGTCCCCACATATCGGCGTTATGCTGAATGGCTGCTCAGTGCTTCCAAGGAAGTCAACCGCAAAGGCTGCTTGAACCCAAATGCTCCCTGGAAACACAATGATGGAAAGAAATGCAAGGATTTGTGGAAAATGATGGATCGTGATAGAAAAGCAGAACATTTTCGAGCATACCATTACAGAAACTTGGATGCTTCACTTCCAGCATGGCGTGGTGCTGGGTTTCCCATAGCACTTCTGGATTTCCATGGGGAACAGCACCTCACATGCAGCTTGTATTGCAATCTGATCACAGACACACCACAGACATGCCAAGAATGCCAAAAAAGACCAGCCAATCAGCTCAATTCTCAATCTTCTTCTTTGACTGCCTATAATGATATTGTGTTTGTGGCAGAAGAAATGGGACTCCTTCCAAATTCCACACTACAGAAATCACGGTTTGAGGCAACAATTGATCTAGCACATTATCATGGGACCACTATGGGAAAGAGGCTTGGTGATCTTCCTTTGATTTGTCCCAAGCAATCAGATCTTGAACATTTACTCAACAAGTCACTGGCATTTGAGCGCATGGTGCTCCCTGAGAAGCATCTTGACCTACAACAAGCACATACTACCTCCTTTTGGGAGATGGCCAAAGACAGGAAGGACTTTTGCTCAGTGGATACAACCACCCTATTGGAGGGGAAGGTTTCATGGGAACAAGTGCAAGAAGCCATGAAGGAGACAAAGGAATGGTCTATCCAATACTATTAGCCTACAAAGATGCAATCCGTACAGAACGGTTCAATTGGAATCGGCCTCTTTATCGCTGGCTTGTTGCTGGGGGCGATGTCATTCCCGCAATCCAAGAGAACTCTCGATAAATCCTGGTCAGGTCTATCCCTTCCAACACCAAGCCCGAATGTCACAGGGGGGCGACCCAGGAATCGCATCGATCGTGGTGGCCCGTTCTCGCGATCGATCAACGTGGGACGACAATGACTGAAAACGATCGTTGTGACGCGTTCTCGATCAAACAAAATAGGAGTAAATTCAGCGACGACCACCTTTGGCTGTTCAGGACGCTGGTTGCTCGGTTCCAAAATAAAGGCGACTTCACGTGTACTGCATACAGAAAACCGACAGCATTGCAAGACATCCCGGCATCTACAATCTACAACCCCACAGAAGACCATCTTTCTTCTTTCCGTCGTGCCGTTCTTGCTGGGAAACTGCTGGTGCCGCGGTCGTGGTTGTGACGCAAAGACGAACGATGGCAAGGAACAAGAAAACATGGCCGACAAAGGGCTCAAAGCAAATCTGGAAAACGGCTTGATTAATTTTAAAAGCACTACCCGATCCAAAGCACTCTGCCACCGACTGCATTCTTATTAGAGCTCCGTTTCGCCGCTAAAGCGGTCTGGGATTTCAATGACTTCATCAGTGGAGGCAGAAAAACGCACGGTTTTGTGCGGTTTGTTCGATAGCTGCAGCGGCTTGCGGGAAGAGGCACCATCGCATTTTCCCTGTGAAGCAGAGCTCGCGCATTTCGGGTGGACGGTCAAGTTTTCATCCGCCAGAGGGCATGTGCAGACAGCACATCGATGCTTCTTCTTGTTCACGGGAGTACACAGACGCTGAAATTGCTTGGTCAGGTATGTCTTGCCAGCATCTTTTGTTTGATCCGAGTCTGCATTTCGCACATTGATCGGGGCAAGCCAGTCGTCATCTTGGTGTTCATCCTTTTTCAGCTGTGCGGCGTCTTTATCGTCATTGGCCGAGTTGTTGGTCGCTATTCCAGAAGGGATCTCGGGGAGTTCGTACTCGTCATCGTCCCAGTCGCAGAGAGAATCTTCATCGTCTGGCTGAGTTTCTTCGATGGTCTTGGTGGCGTCTTGTTCTGTGGATTTTTGGGAGGAAGGAATGGAGTCCATCCTCGTTTTGTGAATGAAGCTCTGATGGACACGAGACCTCGAAGACAACAGTTCGAGCGAGAGTGAGTCGACCTTGCCATGCAAACGTGCTACCGTAAAAATAAATAAACGTGCTGTTTCGAGAACGTTTCGGCGATCTACAGGTTTCGACGTTTCGACTAAGCTCGTCTTAGAAAATGTAAGGGTTAATGTTAATTAAATCCTGTTCTTTTTCCCCTCTCCGACCTTCTCAAGCCGTCAGCCGAACGCGATCTTGGCCAGGAGTGCTCGCAAGACTCCTCAAAATTCGACTCTTGCAGTTCGACCCGAAGAGCACGAAGGCAAAATTTTGGGCTCAACGACCACCGACCCACCATTTTTCAGCTCGTGTTTTCTGTCGTATTGTTGCTTGCTGCTGCTGCCAATGCATCAGTGTCCTGAAGCTTGTGTTTCCACTTGATCCATTCCATTGACCGCAACATCAAGCTGATCTGATTGCTCATCTTTTGCCGAAGTAAATCAGCCAGAAGCACTCACGCTAACTTAATAGATAAGGTAAACGCAACCAAGGCAATCATGGCCACGACTACAAGTGTCGGGGACTCGTCCTCCTTTAAAAGCGACGAAGATGGCGGAGAGATGGGACACCTGTCCGTCTCTGTATCTGAGCTCAATCAGCTTCGTCAACACGTAATTGCCATGCGCAAGAACATGACACAGAAGAACCGTCAAAACATGGCACCGGCTGCCGACAACGTTTCCGTCTTGGAAGAGGTGGATTTGACGGGTTCCCGTGCCAATGGCGCCGCAGGTCTGGTCTTGGCGGAAGAAAACAAGACACCCGAGGAAAAGAGACGATTGTTCCGTCTCGCCGTTATTTCCAACATGTTCTTCATGCTCGGAGCCATCCTCTACATTTGTGTGGCTCATGGCGACCTTCAGTGGGCCAAAGACGTTCAGGGAATTCCTCTGGACGTCCTCACAGCGGATGACGACGCCGCTTGGAAAGACTTCCAGAAGAACCGTCAGACAACGGCTACTGCCAATCCTCCTCATGTTCGTCATGCTCGTACCTTGACAGGTGGAGGTGGCGGTGGAGGTGGAATGCGGAATGACCAAGACCAGGACTTCAACGGAATGATGTGGGGTGAACTGCCACCGGACATTCAGTTGGCTTTGATGGTCCTCGGCCACAACGAGCGTACGTGGGACTTGGGAATGACATCTTCCATAGAAGAGCTCCCCTGGAACAAAATGACGAAAGAACAACAAGACGCCGCCGAGATTATTGGATATACCGCTGAAGAATGGGACGAAGAGGAAGAAGAAATGGAACAGCTCTGGGAAGCCACGCAGCAAGCCTATTACGATACGGACGCCGACGATGGAGCTCCTGATGACGATCGAGCAAATGATGATGCTCCTGAGGATGACAGGGTAAACGATGATAGAGCAAATGACGATGCTCCCGATGATGACAGAGCGAACGACGATCGAGCTCCTGATGATGATGCTCCCGAGGATGAGGACGATAGAGTAAATGATGACCAAGCTCCTGAAGACGATAGAGTAAACGACGATGCTCCTCAGGATGACCGAGTGAATGACGATGCTCCCCAAGATGACCGAGTAAACGACGACGCTCCTCAAGACGACCGCGTGAATGATGATGCCCCTGAGGATGACAGAGTTCAGGATGGAGACGACAGGGTCAACAATGACGACAGGGCAGCAGATGATGATGAGCCTGAGGATGACGCCGTTGACGACCAAACGGACGATGGTGATGTGACAGCTGGGGAGGTTTTTGGCTGGTACAAAGGACAGCACGATGACTACTACCCCGAAGGTTCCACGCCGCCTCCGACCACAACAGCTCCTGTGCCCAAGTACAATGTTGATGGAGGCGAGATTGCGCAATCCACTCCGGCAGCACAAGCAGTTGTCACTCGCCCCCCTGTTGTCGAAACAACACCTCCTGCCACCAATGCGGCGTCGACCACCCAAACATCCATTCCAAACCTCGAAAATGCCCGATCTCCAGCCGACCTCATGGTATGGGGGAAGTATGACTGGGAGGATATCCCTTTGAAGTACCAAAAGGCGTTTGAAATCTTGGGATACAACGAGGAGTTGTGGAACACTGGTGGAACCGCACTCACGGAGGATTTGTCCTGGGACAATCTGACGCAAGCCCAGCAGGTACAAGCATCCATCTTGGGATACAACGAAGCTCTTTGGAACGAAGCTCAAGATGGCGACTACGATAGCTACACGGGACGAGATGTTGTCCCAGCAGCCAACACCGAAACTGATCCAGAACGCGCAAACGACGGCAGAGATGATGACTATCCTGTGGTCAACGCGAACAAGGTCGCAAGTGATAGCAGTAACGATGATGAATTCATGAAGATCGGAGACATGGATATCGAGACAAACGCTGTCCTTCTTTTCTTTGCGGCGCTCTCGTTTTTGATTGTTGGAATCATCAGCTGGCTCCGAGAACGACAAGTCTTCCACATCTGGATGGTTCAAGGAGGCGTTTGGGGTATCCTCAGCGCTCTTACAATGGGCTTCAGTTCTTTTGCTTCTCTTCTTCTACAGACAGTCTCCGTGCACTGCTTCCTGCTCGAATCCGTCTTCATGTTGAAGCTCCGCGCTACGATTCGTCCTGTTGAAGGTTCCGAACGAATGACTTATGCATTGTGGGGAGCGGATGTTTCGTACGCAATTGGTGCCGTAATCCAAGTTGCACTTGTGTACGTCTTGCATCTGGATAGCGATGCCTATTATGATGTTGGTGTTGGTTACGCCGAAGTTTTCGCCGCGTGGTTTTGGTTCATCGCTGCTGTAATTTATTCCTACCACACCATGTCCGTGGCGAACAAGGGCATCGAGGAAGACAGCGCAACTCGAACGTTGACTATCCAGCGCCAACATGCGAACGGCGACACCTACACAATCCGACCTGCAGCGATCCAGCTCCGCAACATGGCAAATCACCCTGTCGTGTTGACTTGAGCTTTGGCTTGACAACAGGCAGAACGGCGACGAAGCCACGGAAAGGTCTGAAATTTTGTGTCATAGTTTATAACTCTCAACATTATCATAATTCACATATAGTACATTGCCTCATCTTTTGAGACCACCCGCTGTTCCCTTGCTATTAGAGCTCTGTGTGCGGCATGGTTTTGCTAGCCACTCGCTGTCCCAGTATTGTGATGGCTGGCTGGAACCCGGCCACGGTACAGCACGCACCGGTATAGCTACATGTAGCTAGTTATCCAAGGCAATGTGGACACTTTTGTTTACGTTCTTTGCTTGAAGTGTGTGACCAAGGCGACCACCAGGATGGTGGCCACAACTACAACAAAAAGGGCTGCGAAGCACCGTCTGTAGCGTGTATTTTGTTTCTGAATCTCCTCCAACTGCATTCTCTTTTCTTTACGAGTGACAAGCTTTCGTCCGTGTGCGTCCCTGACCTCCTTCATGTTGTTCTCCATAATATTACCTTCCAAGTCCAATTGGCGATCAAACTCCGCCTCCAGTTCCTTGTGTGCAGAAGCAAGACGAAGGGTGGCTTTCTTGTGACTGTGAACATTGCTGCAGTGGGGCTTCTTGGTTTTCGTGGTACTAGTATCGGTACTGGACTGATTGTTCGAAGCAGAAGAAGAAGCTGATGGTTTTTGTGGTGACGAGGGAGGAGAAGAAGCAGGATGACGAGGATGGTGGTGGTGTTGAGCCTCTGATTGTTTTTGTTTTTCGTCCACTGGCACGTGTACGTGTACGTTGCATTGATGCTGTCCTCCACTAGCTGACTCTGGCACTGGCTGTACCAGTATCTGCTTGTGTTTGTGTTTGTGTTCCTGTGGCTGTCTATAGATGCTTTGGCGTTGGGCAGGATATGCCAGATGCTTTTGGGTGCCAAAATCTGGAGTTGGCTGCTCCTTCTGGTCTGTTTGAGTTGTGTGTGTGTTTGCGTTTGCCTGTTTTTGATTTTGATTTTGGCTTTGGTGTGTAAATGCTGGATGGTGTGTAAATGCTGGATGTTGTTGTTGCTCTGGCGTTAATACCACAGGGAGTGTCAATTGTGAGGGTTCCTCCTCGTCTTGCAATAGTGCTAAAATGGATCTACCGGTACTACATGTAGTACTGGTACCGGTATCCATGAAATTACTACTAGTAGTATCAAGATTTTGGCTGTCACTGAATTGCAATGTGGCATGATCACTATCACTGCTGTGGAGTAAGTGTAAGTGTAAGGGCAGCAGATCTTCAAGTTGACCAAGTTCATGCTTATCATCATCTTCGTAGACAGGAGGATCAGCAGGCTGTGTGGGAATGAAAATGGGAATGGACATGGGAATGGAGATTGGGGGATTTGACTGTGAAGGCTGAGCATGACCATTGGGTGGATCTCTCCTGTTGGCTCTGTTGTCTGCTACTCGTAGTACTTGCTCTTCTATTTCCTCATCAGGCTGCGACTGTACATGTTGGAGGATGTGGCTGTTTGTGTTGGAGCTCATGGCATCGACACTACTAGCTAGCTAGATAGCTAGATAGCTGTAGCCAGTACACACACGGAGTTGTTTTGTGTTGTTTTGTGAATTTTGGATTTTCTAACATCGCCGCTTGTATGCATACGGTACCACTGGGCAGGCAGGAGGCATTCGGATTCAACCATCCCTTAAGTGAAAAAGAGCCTGTAACATCACGAAGAACAAATTATGCAGGTCTCAAATAGCCTCCCAAAGACAAAACCATCGCGTCGCACCTAGCCAGTTCGATACTTCAGCTTCGAGACATCATCCACCACTCATACCGTAGCCGCTGGCTACCGGTACGTCGCGTCGCACTTGGTTAAAACGTTCAAACCACTATGCATACCAGCTACCGTAGCTACCGTACTAGTACCACTCACCACTGGCGAGCAAAAGCACCGGTCTGGTACCGGTGCGCCCATGCAGGATGCAGCTTGAAGCCGCTACTTCCACAGCCAGCAGCTATGTACCGCACACCGCACACTTGAAGCTACAGCTTTCTTGAAGCTGGAATGTGCTGGTAGTGTAGCCAGTAGCTTTTTTTGTCACCCCTGCGGTGCTTCTTTCCTCTTGAACTCCTGGACAAACCCAGCCAATATCCAACAAACTATCATACATGAACATATTCATGGACCGGCGAGCACCTCCTGCAAATAATATGCACATTTATGCCCCGCAATGGACTGCAGGAAATGCCAGGTCTCAAATTGCCGCCATGCTGGGGGCATGCTGTTTGGGTAACTGCTTGTCCTCGCCAAATCCGAAAACAGCATGCATCTGCTGGTTTATGCAGATCAGCTAGCTAGCTAGCGAGATAATGGTAGGGTATACCGGTACGGTTTGTCTTTGCAGGTAGGTTCCTCAAGTTTGCAGTATTATTTGGTCGCTTTGCTTGGATGGTGTTGCCTGCCTTGCATTCCTGCGTTGTGCCCTCCCCTTGACCTCTGTCTCCATCCTCATCTTAGCTCTCTCTAATCCATAGTAAACCCGAGACATTAAACAACAAAATAAAATAAAATATCAATAGAAACCGCTTTGATTGACCATCAAGGGAATTCAACAGAACGCATCGAATTCAAGTCGCCTAATCGAATTCAATTCGAGTCTACCGATAGAGTGTGAGCTTGTGACCTACCAAAATGGACTCGACTGTCGATCAAGACTAACCAAAATTTTCCGGAGGCCTCCAACGCTTCCGCGCCTCCAGCCCACGGAAGACAGGCCACGGCATTGCAACCACTGTAGATCAGGCCACTGGCTACAACGGTACTAGCTAGTACGATACAGTACTAGTACGTGTAGTCTTGAGCTATGAGCAAGTCGTACCACCAGTGCCGCACACATAGGGTCCGAAGCAAGTCCGATGTCCGAAGGGCCCGTCCAGCCACGGTACTCCCAGTATGCATGGTACCTGGTACCATCCAACAAAGAAACCATACTACTACGCTACTGATGATGCATGGTGAGACGAAAGGATGCGATGCAATTGGCACGTACTATGCTTAGACTCTGGTGAGCTCCAGAGTAGCAGTCCAGAGCGATCGCCAAAAATAGTGCAATAGAACTTGGAAACATGCCAGGGCTAGGATGGCCCCCATTTACTGGCCGATCCCAGGAGATCAGGGGTCCAAGACTTGCTACTAGTCGAGACAGAGCTGTTTCAAACTTTCCAGTGTCAAATCAAAAACACTGGTGCTGTGTGTTCTCGGGTCTTGGCGGTGGCATCAACAAAAGTAGGGACTTCATGTTGGGCAATTGACGAAATATGTAGGGAGCTACTACAGTAGCTAGCCAGCCAACCATTTTAAAAACTGCCATGTGACCAGTACTGGGTTCACAAGTCAGCAGCAGCCCGGCAGCCCAAGCATCGGCAGTCAACGAGTTGAGTTATACAATACTAGTAGGGTCGTGATGGGAGTTGGTGTACGCCAGGAGGAAAAAAGAAAGGGGGGGAGGAGGTGAGCGACCAATGAGCATCCCAATAGTCTCCCTCCTCCTGATACGCTTCCACGTGTAACATATCAATGTCTTTCCTTTATATCCATTGTGTCGCTTTCGCTAGTTAAACTCTACTTCTATTTCGATACTCTAGGCCACCTCCTCGAAATTTTACACTTAGAGACTCAAATATTTCATCTTAACCTCTAACCTTACCCCGCCGGTGAAAGAAAGCAATGACACCGCTCCTCATTATCGTGGAAACCAAAAAGTAGTCACCATGGCGACACCCCGTAAGCCAAAGCAACTGTCACAACCTCAATGGGACTTTGTTATCCGTACCCGGAAAGCCATTGATGCCGACCCTCGCAACTTCTTCAAGATACCTTGTAACTGGAGAAGGATCACTCCCCGGAAAGGCGGCAGGAATGAAAGCATGCTGCTGGATCATCGTGGACGGAAGAGCACCGTAGAGAATTTCTATGTCAAGCCCCTAGCTTCCTGGGTGCCGCATATCCTGGTGCCGAATCATGTTCCTTGTTGCCCTCACTGTAAGAAGAGGAATGCAGTTGATTTGAAGAAGAGTCGATGGGTGAACTGTCCAAAAGTGCTGTATGGAGTCTCACGCATTCGATATTTGGACACAGTATTGTACCTGTGCACCCGCTGTGGCAGACGGTTTGCTGGGTATAACAAAGAGTCCATGCAGCTGGATTCCTCACTGTACTACGGATACTTCACCTTTTTCCTTGGTCATGGTTTTGCGGTGGATGACGAGATGCACAGCCTTATTGTGGAAAGCTCCCACAAGGAAGCCACAGCCACTATTGCGAAAAAGCTACAGAGAATGGCCAAACTTGCCTATTACGAAGATCACCAGCTTTATCTTACGGCTATTGGTCTAGACAAAATCCGTCCCAAAAAGAAGCAGAAAAGCATTCTGGAATTGTTGCCGCGAGCAAATCCAAATGGGAATTCCAAGCATTGTTGGACAACAAGAATCGTGCTGTTGCCGGTGTCCGTGCAGCCAGAGCCAGATATGAATCTGCAAGGAACCGTGCTAACACTGATATAACCCTGCGTTCCCTTCTACCGTCCAAGGACAATCACAACCACCACGGAGCAAGGAATATAATGCGATCTCTTGGTTCCACCAAAATTCGAAAACTGTTGGATAATGGCATTAGAACCTGCTTTGAAGTACTTGCAGCGGACCACAAGCAGTACAGGAACACCATCAAGCCCCTGAGAAGGTGGAAGTTGATTGTTAAGGCACACTTCGATAAATTGAGAGATGATGTGAAACTCAGAGATCAAGAGGTGGATGCAGCCTTGGAGGTTTACAACAGTTCACTTGACAAGCTGCGGCAGTTCCGAATGGACAATCCAGATGTGGAGGAACTGGAGCGTGAAGAGATTGTCGCCGCTTCCCAGAATGAATCGGCTCTTGTTCCCTTTTCTGAATTTGGTGACAAGATGGGATATAATGGGAGGTCTCTCTCAAAGTACCGAATCGATAGCATTGTGACCAGCTATTTCATGCATCGACGATCCTTCCAAGAAGCACAGATGTTTGGTACCAATGCCATTCTGTTGAAGGCTGACTTCAACTATAAGCTGGCTCAAAAGATCCGTGTCTGGACAAAGCAAGGTCAGAGCTTTGCCCCCTACCAATGCATCATCACAATTCAGAATGAAGATGGACTGACAGTCTTTTGGAAAGCACTCAAGCACTCCGAATCCTTCAGCGAAATCAAGGAGGATTTTGTGGCTCTGAGGGATCGCCTGAACAAGAATCTTCATTTGTCGAAAGGGAATCCAGTTGGACCAGTGGAAAGTGCAGTGAAGGTTGTGTACGTGGATAACTGTTGTGGTGTCAAGAACATCCTTCGTGACATCTTTGGCAAGGACCTGCTGATTAAGTTAGATCCCTTCCACTGGTTGAAGAGGTGGAATGAGTTGATGGTTGATGCGACTTCCATCCAAGCTGGGATATTTCGTGCTCTCATGTCAAGGGCTTTATTTGTCATTACACCTGCAGAATTCGAGAGAGCAAAGGAGAAGATGGAACAGAAGCTTGACCGTGAACCAACAACAAAGGAAATAATGAAGGAGGCCAACTCCATCATTCCTGACGCTGCTACCCTTCGAAGCAATGTTGAAGCTGTGCTGAACTACATTCAGTCAAAAGATTCTCAGACTTATCGAGTCCTTTCCCAGAGAAGGGAAGATGACAATTCTCCAAGACCTCGGCTCTTTATGAAACAATGGAAGATGGCAGATGTTGTCCGTAGACAGCTGGTTCACGTGGACATCTAAGAAGCGCATTTTGGGCAAAGTGGATATTATGGGGAAGGTGCACAAAACGCTGGATCAAATTTTAGCGACTCATTTATGTGGGTCCCTTATCATGTCGAAGGGCATTATTTTACCCACATACGCCAAATCATGTACTCGTTCACAGCTCATATTGCCCAAATGAACAAACATAATGTCCCTGCGAGTCCGTCATATTTTTGTGGAATGTGCGTCGAGAAAAGTGTGCTCCGTACAGAGATCTGTGCGGTACGCCCCTTTATGCCGAGTGCGTGGATATTTGGCGGCAAATGCCTCACAAAAAGTGAGCTTGGGTAAGTGATAGGACGGGACGTAGCTTTGCCGGAGTCCCCGGACATTTTGCGCAAGTGCATACAAATAGTGAGGACAAGCCGCAAAGGGGGCATCACAGAATTTTTACCAAATGGCGCTGAAATTGCATGGCAAGACGCCAAAAGATCCCGCTGCACAAGCCGACACAACCATAACTACATTATCCGTCATTACTTTGCCTAAGTGAACATGACTACGACAACAATGACAAAGCAGTTAACAACTAGATAATCGTTAAATTAGTTATTAGCTCAGAGAAAAGTACCATTTAGTAGGAGAGGGCAATAGAAAGCAGGGATGAGCAGAAATGTCTTGGTTGTTGCAGAAACAGGATAATACGTCTATGAAAGTCACTGAGGAGA